AGATATTTCAAAAACATTAATGTATGATTTTCATTATAACTATATGATTAAAAAGTTTAGTAAAATCAAATTATTGTATACAGATACGGATAGTTTAATATATCATATATTTACAAATGATTTTTACACTGATATAAAACCTGACCTTTCATCATACTTTGATACCTCAGATTATGATACAAATAATATTTTTGAATATCCAAAATTAAATAAAAAGAAATTAGGTTTTTTTAAAGATGAAAATAATGGTAAAATCATGAAAGAATTTGTGGGTTTACGATCCAAAATGTACGCTTTTAACTTAGAGAATAAGACTATAGCCAAGGCAAAAGGGTTAAATAAATGTATCACTAAAAAGATGACAATGAATAGTTATAAGTCTTCTCTATTTAATAAAAAAGTGCAATATTATAGTATGCTTAGATTTAAATCAATTAAACACACAATTTTCACACAAAAATTAAATAAGATAGGTTTATCATATAATGACACAAAGAGACATATTTTAGATAATAATATTGAAACATTAGCTTGGGGTCATTATAAACTGCGTTAAGTGTTGATAGTTTTTACTTTTATGTCTGCGTTTAAGAAAAATTTATATTGATTGTAAAATTATGATAATACTATAATATGACGTAGTTTATTACATATTTAATCATTGTTTTATTGTAAATAAGTTAAGTTAATTGTTGTTTCTATTTATTTGAGGTTGAGTTAATTGTAAAATTATGATGTACTAATTGTTGTTTCTATTTATTTGAGGTTGACTTAATTGTAAAATTATGATGTACTAATTGTGTTAGAAATAGTATACAGATAATTCTGTTTTATATAATTTTTGGAATATATATTAATTGTTTACACCAACACTTTCATTTTTTATTTCACCCCTTTGAACTTTAGACGTGTGTTATGTTTCACTTTATCCATCCGTTCACTGCTATTGTGGCAGGACCAAGTGGGTGTGGGAAGTCAAATTTTGTAACAAATTTCATAAAATCAGTTACAGAAATATGTAATTGTGATTTTAATCAGATCACATGGTGCTTTGATGAAATGCAACCATTATATAATTTACCAAATGTTAACTATCATCAAGGAATTCCAAATCTTAATATGTTTGATGGTGAAAACCCACATCTTGTTATTATTGATGATCTAATGAGAGAGTCCGATGGAAGAATTGTGGATATATTTACAAAAGGTAATCATCACAGGAATCTTAGTGTATTTTATCTAACACAAAATTTATTTCATCAGGGTAAAGGACAAAGAGACATATCTTTAAACTCAAGTTATATAATATATTTTAAAAACCCTCGAGATAAAACTCAAATAAGATATTTAGCAAGACAAGTATCACCAGATAACCCAAAATTCATTGAAAATGCCTACAGGGATGCAACTCTAGAGGCGCATGGATATTTAATGGTAGATTTTAAACAGAATACCAATGATTTTTGTCGTATCAAGACAAATGTCTTTCCATTTAATGGTTTCTGTACAGTCTACATCCCCACAAAAGAGTTTAAATACACCAAGAATCAAACAATTGAAATCATTGCTAAATGATGCATCGTCGACTCACAACCTATAAACATTTGCTAACCGCTTTGCATACGCTTAAACCAAAATATCAAAGAGCATTACTTAAAACGTGTGATGAAGAAGAAATTAACTGTATTTGTGAGTGTATTCATAACGTTTTACAAGGAAAAGTACCTCTTAAAGATCAGGATAAACAAAAATTGAATAAACATAAAAACATACTCCGTAAACTAGTACGTAAGTGCAAACATAAACTAAGAAAAAATATAATTATACAAAAAGGAGGGGCTTTCTTACCAACAATATTAGGTGCAATATTGAGTGGATTAGTGAGTGGACTAGCCAGTTAACATGGAAAATGCAAAGAAAATGATACTTATCGAACCTGGATTGATTGAAAAATTAAAACAAGAAAATAAGGTTAATAGTAATTTATCTCGATTAGATATTGAAATGCAAAATATTATGAATAGTAAGACGGAAGACCGAAAGAAATGGATATTATATTTACAAACACTGCAAAGATACCTTCATTTTACCGAAGAGGATCGTCAACCACTCAAATTACCAATTTATTCTGATACATCTAATGAAGATTCAAACGAGTCAAAAATTGGTTTTAAAAATAAACATAGAGATGTAAAAACTTCAGTTGATATTGAATCTTTGCTGGAGGAGAATCGATCCATTAAAAGTAAAGAAAATGATGAAAATCCACTTTACACACCAGCTCAAATACTCAGTTTAATACCAAAAACTTATCATAAAAAAGGGCAGTTATTATTAAACTTAGTTGAAACAAGTAAAAGTAAAATACATTGGGATAATGAAGGTACAGTCATAATTGATAGTGAAAAAATTCCTGGAAGTAATATTGTTGATTTAATAAATGATTCACTAAGACCCCTAAAAAGAAGTGATCCGGTAGGGTGGGTTAGATTTGCTGAAGCATTAAAAGATATTAAAGTACCACTTACTTATATTGGAAATCCAAGGAGATGTGAGTTTATTAACCAACTTCAAGCAAAAGATCTGAACAAACCCTCTGAGATTGAAGTTCAAGAGTTTTCTACACCGGTCAGTAGAGATAAAAAGTCTACAACTAAAATACGTAAAGGACTTGAGTGGGAAAAATGGACCCCGTACTAGAAGAAATTAACAGGATTTATTATGATCCATCTAATCCCGCTGGTTTTGGTAGTATTGATAAATTATCAAAAGCCATGAAGGGTAAAATGAATAAAAAGCAAGTAAAGGAATGGTTAAAATCACAAGAAACATACACATTACATAAACCCATTCGAAAAAAATTCCCGCGTAATAGGTACATTCTATCAAATATTAATGAACTGTGGCAAGCTGATTTAAGTGATATGCGAACTTATTCTCAATATAATGATGGTTTCAAGTATATACTTTGTATTATTGATGTATTTAGTAAATATGCTTTTGCAAGACCAATGAAAAAGAAAAACTCAGAAACAACTAAAGAATGTTTTGAAAGTATATTTACTGAAAGTAATTTAACACCTACTCACATACAATCCGATAAAGGTACAGAATTTGTTTCAAAAGATGTACAAAAATACTTTAAATCCAAAAAGATTAATTACTATACCACTAACAATCCTGACATTAAGGCTAGTATTGTTGAACGATTTCAAAGAACACTAAAAATGAAAATGTGGCGTTATTTCACTCATAATAATACTTATAGATATATAGATGTTTTACAAGATTTAATATACTCTTATAATCACAGCTTTCACTCTAGTATTAAGATGTGCCCATGTGATGTAAATTCCAACAATATTATGACAGTTTGGACTAATCTTTATGATAGACGGTCAAAAAAACTTTATTTAGAAAATCCTAAACCAAATTTCAATGTGGGTGATTATGTTCGAATAACTAAATATAAACATGTATTCCAAAAAGGATATGAATCAAATTGGAGGGATGAAATATTTATTATATCTTCAATAATTGATAGATCTCCATGGGTTGTTTATACAATAACAGATTTACAAAATGAACCAATAATTGGTACTTTTTATGAAAGAGAATTACAGAAAATCACTTACAACCCCACCTCACAACATAAAATAGATAAAATAATTGACACTCGTTATTCAGGTAACAGAAAAGAAGTATTAGTGAAGTGGAAAGGTTATCCAGATAAATTTAACAGTTGGATTTTATCTTCTAGTTTAAAAGAAATATGAATAAAGAAAGTTTCTATTTAACTTTGCTCAGCAATAGTTCAATGGAATACTTTCCTGATAACAAGACCACAAATTTTTCAACGAAATTACCAAAAGCTATAAAATTAGAAGGTGAATGGTCGGTTGGAGTTGTCGAGTTTCAATATCCATGTACCATGTTTACTGTTCAAGACCATGAAAATGTTATATACATTACAAAATCTATGTTAATGCCTAATGAAGATAAACCATCCACAGTGTACTACAAAAAACATATTCCAGCTACCAACTATGATAACGTTGAGCATATTTTAAGAGTGTTAAATGGTATCGGAGAGAACTTGAAATTTCGCTATGATGAAATAACAAAATTTGTGTCTATTTCGGTATTGGATAAAAATATAACATCCGTAACATTATCACCCAAATTAAGTTTACAGCTAGGTTATGAACCAAATAAAAATCTCCTAGAGAGAAATTTTGGAAAGTGTCCTGCTAATTTACACTTAGGGTTACCATCTCAACTATTTCTATATTGCGACATTATCGATCCTCAGATTGTGGGTGATGTTATGACTCCTTTATTAAGAGTCATTTCATTAGATCCTACAAAATACATTTATGGTGCAAATAAAATGCACGTTTTCTCTCAACCTCACTACTTACCTGTTATGCGAAGAGAGTTCGATACGTTGGAAATAGTTATAAGATCGAGTACAGGACAAAAAATACCATTCCAGTTTGGAACCGTGTGTATTAAACTACATTTCCGAAAATTATAATAATGAATTCTCTTCGTGATCATCATAAATGTCCATATGAAAATTATTATACACATCAAGCTGGATCAGGAGTTGGAGTAATTTATAAGGGTTCACCATATCAACGCGGTCATGGTATTGGGAGCTTCTTAGGGGGGTTATTCAGATCAGTTTTACCTTTACTTTCAAGTGGTGCTCGAGTCATTGGTAAGGAGGCATTAAGCGCTGGAGTAGGACTTTTATCGGATATGGTTCAAGCCCGTCCTATGGAAGCCTCAATAAAAGATCGTCTAAAGCAAGTTAGTACGAATTTAAAACGAAAGGCTGATGAGAAAATTGATCAATTTAACATGACTGGATCTGGGTATAAAACTAAAAGAAAACGATTGACATCGTTCATTCCACCATTAACTGCTAAAGTGAAAGCTGCGAAAAAACTTTGTCTAAAACCAAAAAATATCAAAGATATATTTTCAAACTAAATATGTCTTTCCTTCATAATCATTCTTGTGAGTGCGTTAAGTCAGAATTGGATTTGTTTGCACTACCGTCTACACAAACTAGCATTGAAAATGGATTGTGGATTCATTATAAACCAATTTCATCTCTTGGTGATGATGGACCTATCGAGTTTCAAGTTCCTGGGACCGGCGATGACTACATAGATTTGTCTCATACATTACTCCACATAAAGGCAAAAGTATTAAATCAAGATTCAACTAACTTGGTATCTACTACAATAGTAGCACCTGTAAATAATTGGCTGCATTCACTTTTTAGTCAACTTGATGTTTATTTAAACCAAAAACTTGTATCACCACCTAATAATACCTATGCATATCGAGCATACATGGAAACCCTTTTAAACTATGCCCCTGCTGCTAAACAATCTCATCTTGCTTGTAGTCTTTGGTATGAAGATACAGCAGGAAAAATGGATTCTACAGATGGTAAAAACATAGGATTTGTTAAAAGACAGGAATTGATTAGTGAAAGTAAGGAAATAGAAATGATTGGTCATCTTCACGGTGACATTTTTAACCAAGATAAATTTTTAATTAATGGTGTTGAAATGAGTGTTAAATTGGTTCGATCAAGAGAGAGTTTTAATTTAATTGTTGGGTCAAACGATGTAAAGTTTAAAGTTTGCATTACGGACGCAACTCTTATTGTTCGACGAGCACGAATTAATCCAAGTGTATTACTCGCACATCAAAAAGTTTTAGCTTCTACCACTGCTAAATATCCTATTACTCGAGCTGAAGTAAAAGTTTTAACAATTCCTTCGGGTGTTCAAGGAAAAACTCTTGATAATATATTTTTAGGACAGGTACCGAAAAGATGTATAATTGGATTTGTGAACAATTCTGCATTTAATGGTTCCCTTACTAAAAATCCATTTAACTTTGAAAACTATGGTATTAATTCTTTCAGCTTATATATTGATGGTCAACAAATACCTTCAAAAGCTTTGCAACCATCTTTTAATAATAGCATATTTACATCAGCATATCATACTCTATTCTCGGGAACTGGTATTCACTTTCTTAATGAAGGAAATGGAATCTCTTGTGAACAGTATGGCAAAGGTTACTGTCTATTAGCATTTGACTTAACTCCTGATTTATCAGCTAACTCATCAACTCATTGGAATTTCATAAAGCATGGTAGTGTAAGAATAGAAGTAGGATTTGAATCCTCATTAATACAAACAATTAACTGTATAGTTTATGCTGAGTTTGATAATATTATTGAGATAGATAAAAACAGAAATGTTACTGTAGACTATAGTAGTTAAGGTTATAATATGTGTTGTGTGTTAGATTTTATGTGTTATGTGTAATGCATTTTGTGTGTATGTAACTATGTGAAACGTTATAAAATTAAATAAAACAAATTGTATGCAATATATTTTTTTTTATTTCTTTATAAATCTTCTATTTAATCTAATACAAAACACTGTTCGAGTTGAAATTTTACATAAGCACACTGACTAAACCACTGAACATGCTGCTGCCAAGGATCATCATCATCTTCCCAATCTTTTAAACCACCACCACAATGGAAACACTTGGTCCCGTCTGCATGGCCAGTATAAAAGAAACCAGCTTCTGCAAGATCTTCAGGTTTCTGTCGCATAACGAGAGGCCAGTTTTCGAAACTAAGCAAACGGCTAGATTTTGAACTGAAGAATGGATATTCAGCTCTTGAGTACTGCATACTCTTCTCGTTTTCTTCTCCACTCAGTGTTGTAGTTTTGTTATTCAATGATGTGTTTTGTACACGTATGCCACACTCATCTCTTCCTTCCGCTCTTGTCTTCCTGTAATTGAAGTAAACAGAATCACATTCACTAATGATCAGCTAATGACTGTCATTGTTAAAAAAGTATTTTTTAACTTTTTCACTTTCTGCTATTGTCTTTGTTATATTGTATACGAGGGCGTTTGTGTTGTCGTAGATGCTATCCTTATTAGTCTTTACGTAATATTTAATTCTCGTGGAAGCATGTTTCCAATGATCAGTAGTTGGAATCTTGGATAGCTTCTTCATATCGTACATTTCAATTTTGATGAGATGCGTCGCTTGGTCTCCGTCGTCAGAATTAGTAGAAATGTATGATACACCATCTCTAGCGGCTCGTGCTACGGTTGATGATAACAGCTTCCTCTTTTTTATTTTTGATTCAGCTTCAAAAAAATGATCAATCGATTGCGATTTTCTTTTTCCACCATCGCATGTGTTATTATTAATGACGAGGTTATCACTCTCTTCTTGAGGGGAGAGTGACGAGTAGTAATACTGTTTATAGGTATCTTCATCGAAGCTCAATGATTTCTGCAACAACACAGTTATCATGTTAATATCAATTTGTTAACACTTAATCATAAAAGTTAAAAAAGTTAAAGTTACAGCCTATTAAAGTCCACTGCTGAACATAGGCCTCCTCTCATTTCTGAGAGGGTTTTAGAGCAAGGAAATGTCCGCCGCGCTCCCTCAATGTGTGTTGGCGAACTTCACATGCCTTCGAGATTTTCTCAGACATGCAGGTTTCCTCACGATGTTTTCCTTCACCACCAAGCACGTGGTAATAAGCACTTAAAATTGCGATTAACAATTTAATTGGTGCTGGCGGGGATCGAACCCGGGTCGCGTACTGTGAAATTTACAGCTAGCGCTAACCATCTGAGTTACCACGGCTTAATCATATACATACACAATATTTAAATAAAATAATACACACACATGAAAATAACAGAAAAAAAGTAATTTAGTCAATAGAATAAACACTTACATCCATAGCCTTTGGTGTATTGAAGTAACACAAATGTACTATTGATAGATCCACTGTAGTCAAACGACCGTACACTAACTCGATGACTGCGTCTGTTGGTCTTATATACCACCAGTACGTAAAAATTCTAATCTAAAGTATTTCCGTAATGAGTTGATAATTACTTTATGCGTCAACCAGTTTATCTCACATTTCCGTTGTCTATCTCAACATTTCTTCGTATTGTGTTTTGTTTGGTGATCAATGACTGAAGTACGATTTGTATAACACAAAAATGCAATTTAATATTTAGAAACATATCAGTTTATCTCACATTTCCGTTGCCTATCTCAACATTTCTTCGTATTGTGTTTTGTTTGGTGATCAATGACTCAAGTACGATTTGTATAACACAAAAATGCAATTTAATATTTAGAAATCACTATAATTGACCATTCCTATGTTATTCATTGAGTAGATTGGTACTGTAATAATCTACTAATAGCAGTAATATCATGGATACACTAGATGTACAACAACATCTGAAAAAGATTCACCCCAGTCTAGAAAATAATGTTTATGCAGCTAATAGACTGCCTATGTATACCCACGTACCAACGTATATAATATGTAATTTGGATACAGATGATAAACCAGGGTCACATTGGGTAGCTTTATATATCGATACGAATGACGTCGGTCAATATTTTGATTCATATGGACGATCACCTGTACGATATCATCTAGAGTTTTTAAAAAGGAATTGTAAAAGATGGAACTGGAATATTGATAGGATTCAGAATGAGTGGACTTCAGTTTGTGGCGAATATTGCTTAATGTATTTGCTATATAAGTTTCAGGGATGTTCAATACATAGTTTTACGAGTATATTTACAAGGAACACACTGTACAACGATATTTTAGTGGATGAGATGTTTCGCTCCTATTTTATAGATAATAAGTAATAAGATTTTGTATTTTATAAATAAAAATTGTAACAAAATTATGTAATGTGTTTTATTGATGATTCAGATTAGCGTTGTATAATTAGGAACAAAGAAGTATAATACAATAGCACTGATATAGTCGACGCACACGCTGCAATGAAGGTGATTAATGAACAATAGAACAATAGAAATAGGAACAATGGGACGCTACTGACGGTGGAGGCCCTTACCGGATATCAATTAGATATTAGCTAATTGATCTACACATCTCCGGAACCGTGCATTCTACACAAAAATGGACCGCGGATTCGTGATCAGAGCATGCCAAAACCTTTTTTTTTTTTTAGGATCGGGTGTCGACGAACGTCGTTGAACCACGTCTGACTCAGGTGGTCTAGAAGTGGTACAACTACACTACTTGCACAATAAATTGATCGAAAGCATTTGTATCAACGATGTGTTGTATTATTATTATATTTTCTCACGCAAATTTTACTTAACTATAGAATGCAAACATTCTAATTTCTAATTAACTAAAATTAGCTATTCTTAACACGGCAGAATTCGCGCCCTACAAGCATGGCGATTAATACTTTCCATAACGAGAGAGTCTCATTTCCATGGGGGCATTTTGTGGTTTTCACTACTAGATTCACTACTATAACGTACTAAGTTATAATCCCGATTTTTAAACCTAATATATTTATGCTATTCCTGTGTTGCTCTAACTAATTTATGCACCTACTTGTGTATTCCAGTTTAAACGATTAGAGAGCGTGTAAACTTTTAGCCTATATTTTGTGTATTTCATATTAGTCCTCAAAGCTGACAACGCATCTGTGGGCTCAATGATGGTTGCAGGTATCCTTTGGTTACAGCACACTTACCACTAGATAGTTTGTTAGTTGATTTCTTAAAAGATGCAATTAGTTGTGTTTCATCCTTGAATTATTTTCAAAACAAAAAATGCTGTACATACCCATGAGTGATATAATATATTTTTGGACATATTTCCTTATTTTTTAAAAATTTATTCACCACCTGATAAAATCATAAAATTGTTGCTAAATCGGATCAAATTAAAATGCCATAAAAATAAAATCACTTTCAATAAAAAATATCGATTCTACTTGGAATAACGTGTTTATGTCAAAATCCAAATAAAACACATTTGAAGTTCGATAGTTTAGTAAACAGAGCGCAGTCGCAAAGTCATTTTAAACTACGGATAGAAAATTCCTTGTAACTTACTTTCCAGTGTAAATATATTTTATTAAACTTACAATCTTACTGACTTGGTACATATTTACGTGTGAAATTGTAACTAAATCTTACTAATGTTATAAACGTGAAAGTTTGTGAGGATGTATGAATGTATGGATGTTTGTTACTCGTCTACGTAAAAATTACTGTATGTATTTTAATGAGACTCTACAATAATACAGCTCATACATCAGAACAACACATAGGCTATAATTAATAAATATATTGTATAAATCGGTCAAATATAATGATAAGTGTTAAGTAAGTCGGAAAAAATCTGTCATCTGCGAGCTATTTCGTTGTGCGGTGCAAAAACTGTAAAGTATAATTATTGGTTTATAGTATAATACCTACGCGGACGTGGTCCCGGGCAAAAGCTAGTTGTTTTATAATTGTAAGTAAATTTTCGACTTTAAGACGGTTGTCTATGTGTGCACAGATTTCCTCCCGCTTAAAGTGACAGATATTCCCTGTGGCCCGTATAGCTATATGATTTTTAACATTACATTTAATTTTATTATTATATACATACGCTACAACCAATAACCGCAGTGCTGGCACACGTAGGCTTAGCCGGCTTCAACTAGGTGCAGTCAAATGCGGTTGAGCCAAATGCGGATGTTTAAAGTTAGTGGTATTCGATTTATTCATGGGATGTGCATGGCTAATGCTAATAGAAATAATAAGCCTAGCCTTAAATGAATAAGATAAATGTTAGAGGCCTTGGAGCTTGAGGTACCTGAAGTGCGAAACAAACCTTACTTTTGCAGTTTCTTTTACGATATATTTCTTTAATTAAATTGATGATCAATACAATGGTGCCGGCGGGGATCAAACTAAGGTTTCTTGTGTATTATGAAATTTTACATGATTTTACATATATATATATATATATATATATATATATATATATATATATAATTACTTACTATTACAACTATTAACTTGTATTGTAAATTTATAAACTCAACCCGGCAACAACCAAATTGTGAGCATCAGAGCATTGACTCCGGCGTGCATTGGCTGCTAGACTGTTTAAGCCATCACATTGCAATTTCATATACTTATCCTCAAGAAAATTTCTTCGACATTTCTTTAAAAGTTTAGTTTAGTTTGGAGTTCGCTTGAACAGAGATAGAAGAATAAGTAAGGTGAAAATAAACACCTTTGTTTGTTCTACCTGGTTGGAATTACGTCAGCGGGCTGGTGCGGATCGTCATAAATCACAATCAATCCTTGTCAGTTTTGGAGCAATTTCGGTAATGTTAAAGAGAAAATACGCTTATCTATTACATTTATCATATTAATTTCTTA